GGAGGAGGGGAAAATGAGGAAGAGGAGGGGGAGAAAGAAGATAGGGAGGAAGGGGAAGAGGAGGAGGAGGAGGAGGAGGAGGAGGAGGAGGAGGAGGAGGAGGAGGAGGAGGAGGAGGAGGAAGGAGGAGGAGGAGGAGGAGGAGGAGGAGGAGGAGGAGGAGGAGGAGAAGGAGAAGAAGGAAGGAGAAGAAGGAAGGAGAAGTGGAGGATTAGAAAAGGGAGAAGGGGAAGGGAGCGGATAAGATGAGGAGGGAAAGGAAAAGAAAGAGAGGAAAAGGGGAAGAAAGGAGGAAGGAGAGAGCTAAGAAAAAGCAAAAAGGAGGATGATAATAATGAGACAAAGAAGAAGGGGAGAAGAAAGGCGTGGGAGGAAGGAGAAGACGAAGAAGAAGAAGATGAAAGAAGAAGAAGAAAGAGCAAGTAGAGACGAAAAGGAAGATAGAAAGAAGTGGAATGGACGCGAACCCTTCCTCTCCCCTCCCCCCCTTCCTCCTCCTTCCCCTACCCCCCCACTTCCCTTCCAACCCCCCCCCCCCACCTGGCGTGACAACTACCGAGGAAATTGCAAATATTTATTAACCAGGTGCTATGTACACAAGGGTGGGGGGGGGATGGAAAGAGGGGGGGAGGGTGGGAGGGAGGGATTGGGGGGGGCAGTGAAGAAGGGTGTAAGTGTATGTGGAAGGGGGGGGGGAGGGGAGGGAGCGGATGAAGTGGGTGGGGGGGTGGAGGGCGTTGGGGGGGGAGGTTAGATGTGTACCGCGTGTGTGTTTGAAGGGGGGGGGGGGGGGAAGGGGGGAGGGGGAGGTGTGTATATGTATGTGTTGACTGTGTGTGTCTATGTACGTGTATGTGCGTCTAAGTATTCCTGTGTGTATATGTGTACGTAAATCTATTCCTATGTATAAATACATCGTGAGTAAGTTATACGAAAATCAATCAATAAAAAAAAAAAACATTCAATAAAATAAAGGGGAAAAAAGGTAAGGAAATGAATAACGAAAAAAAGAAAAAAACGAAAAAAAGAAAAACAAAAAAGAAAAAAAAAATTGAGAGGAAATAAAACTAGTCTTGCAATCCCTATTTCCTGTTCCCCGTTTTCTTTATGAATAATGAATTGGGGAGATCACCTATTTTTTTCCCTCTTCCATTTTATGGGTGACTGCGGTGAATCTGTGGCTGGGTAAAGTGACAATGGGTTTTTACGTGTTGTAATTGTCTTTTTTGTTAGAGTTTAGGGAGATATTTTTTATATATATATTTTTCTCTCTCTCTCTCTTTTTTTTTTTTTTTTTTTTTTTTTTTGGGGGGGGGGTAATGTTTCTTAAATGGTTGAAGGGAAAATCTAATTAGAAAAAAAAAACAAAAAAAACAGAATTTCCACGTGTTATGAACGGTTCTGGACGGTGTTTGAATCAAAAGGTGTTTCGTGTTGCAAATGTTACAGTGTTGCAAAGGGGTTTCCGTGTATGACGAATGAACACGATACCATATGTTTTGCATGTCACATATTTTACAGTTTTATACAGGGTTCAGTGTCTTACAGATATTACAGTGTTACATTAGGGTTCAAGTCTGTTACAAATTTTACAACGCTCCATAATACAAAATTTATGTTATGTAAATTACACTGTACAAAAGGGTTCGGTGTGTTACGATATTACAGAGTTAAAAAAGGTTTTACTGTATCACAAATATGACTGTTGAAGAGAGTATATCCTGTGTGGCAAATATTACAGTGTTGCAAACCATTCGGCGTGTCACAGCGTTGCAAAGGTTTTAGTGTGTTGCAAACTTGACAGTATTAGAAACTTTTTTGTTTTTCGGGCACTATAAATATAGTGATAGGCAGGATTTTATTGTGTGTGGTGACGTGTGGTGACTATAGATATATGTGAACTTTACATGATGATTCTCTTAAATGTTGCGTTGTGTTGAAACGATGTTTAGGTAATCATAATGAATTCAGAAATGAAAGCTTAATTACATATAAACCACATTGCCTATTGATATCTACAGTGAATCTACAGTGCAAAAGAAAAATCTCATAAAAATCTATATAAAAAAAAACAGTAAAAATACTAACAATGACCACTAAAACAAACAAACAGACAAACAAACAAAACAAATAAAGCGAGATTTTTCCTTACGTGGTTTGTCAATCTTGTGGCGAGGGGAGGGGGGAGGGGGGAGGGACGAGGGGAGGATGGATCATGGGGGGAGGAGGGGATAGGGGAGAGAGGGGAGGGGGGAGGATGGGGATCATGGGGGCAGGGGAAAGGGGGGGAAGGGGGAGGGGAGGGGAGGGGAAGAACAGGAGGGTTAGAAAAGAAAGGGGGGAGAGGAGGTGGAGGGAGCGGAGGGGAAAAGGAGGGATCATGGGGGGGAGGGAGGGGAAAGAGGGAAGGGGGGGAGGGGGGAGGAGGAGAGAGGAAGAACAAGAGGGTTAGAAAAGAAAGTCGAACATGTGTTTATATATACTAGACGGCCTAACTTTCATTAGAAAGCACGAGAGA